CACGAATCGGACGATACGAATCATCGTCTTTTCGATTGCAGTGCATATGACTCCCAAAGAGAGGATCTTAAAGTGGCCGTAATCAACGAGAACTTCAATTGGCCACCACCTCCCTGTGCTTTTATTTCATATAAATTGTTTGCTCATTTTATATTATTTTGTAAAAGTATATATTCTTAACTTTCCAGTATTGTTAATTATTTTTAATTGTTTTAAATATTTTATATGTTTTATTAATTTGTATTAGATAGCATCTCTTATGATACTTTTGTGGTATAAGGGGTGCGAATTTAATTTGATTAATAAAGATCAATTTTAAAATTTAAAAAAAATATGTTAAAAATTAATATTTTAACTAGGAAAAGTTGAAACCTATTTGTATGGTATATCAAAACTTTCGGGCAATAAATACGGTATCGATGGCTATAAAGTCGGTGATTGGGTTGGAATTGGTTGCAGTCATGAAATGGTCTGGGATTCATCAGTCCCAGAGCATGATGATAAAATTGACTCGGTCAACTTCTACAAGGACAATTTCCTATTCTTGAAATCATTTGGTCCCCAAAAGTGTGAGTTATAAAATAAATATTACTTTTTTGGTATTATGCTCAGGTTTATCAATGTTCACTATTAAGTGTACTTGTCCACTGTGATTTAAAATGTTAATAGTGCACATTGAATGTTCATTATTTTTTAAATATATAAACTTAAGGTTTACTAATACTGATACAGCTTGTATTCAATTCGAATAGAAATCTAATTAGAAAAACATTCTTTGACACAATTCCGTACTTATCTAACGACCCTCTATTAAATTTTAATAATTATATTTGGGTTACACTAACTTTGTAAAAAGATTTAATATCTTACTAGTTAAAGAATTGATACTAAAATGAGCTTTATCACTTTAGATCAACGTTTTCCCGTAAAAGGCATAGACTCGCAAGAAACTGAGGTGGGTCCATTGATGGACTATGTGGTCATAACTAATTACATCGTTGGTGCCAATAACGAAACAGCTGGTGGGTACAGCTGCCAAGTAGATTACCTTGATTATCACGGCAATCCTGGTAACCTAACTGCCGCTACAAAGGGACTGGAATTAAAATAATCTGCGCAAGGTGACAACGATTGACCCATCCATTTTATTAAGTTAAACTGAATTTTATTTCCAAATTAGATATAATTTAAATGCTTCCAAAAATTCAAAAATTGTATTTAAATAAACAAATAAATAAATAACGCATTTTTAAAATCTATTCGTGTTTACAATATAGTTAATTCTTTATTACGTATATAATATACTTATAATTAAGGCCTTACTTTTGAGTTATTTAACTATTTGCTGCGATAGCCAAGAACTTCATGAGATTAAGTATGAATTCGAGTCCATATGTTATATCATAATAATTACTGAAAAAATTAAAATTAAAAAAAATTATTTCATTTAACATTGATTTTATTATTTGATATTTATTTCTAAATTTCCTGATAATGATTTCTATTCAACTATATAAAAATATGACTTATTTCCCTCTAATAAAATTTTAATATTCTAAATAAAATATACATGTTTTAAAAATTATAATAATCAAGTTCACTATTTTTGACGTACGGTACAAATGGGCCTTAATAGCTAATTTTTTTTATAATTTATTAATATATTATATTGTTACTAATTTACAAATAAAAGTACACTACAATAATATGACTGACTGAGTTTCGAAGTATCCTAACTCTCAATTCAAGTCTACATTAGACTATGATTTAAGTTATATTATATTATAGACTAATACATTGTGAACTAAGTAATTAATAATTGACTCATGTTTAATGACTTTATAATAATACAGTCTGTATTTGAATTAATGAGTTAGCACACTTCAAGTCTCAGTCATACATATTACTTAAATCACTTATTTATAAAACATCATGAAGTATATCAAACTGCGTGCTTATCATAATATTATGCATACGAGTGAAAAATCACTACAAATTGATACTAGTGTTGAAAAATTTTCCCAATTAATATATAATTCGCTATATTTAGTTTTTAATTTATAAATTAGTAATAAAAAGTACTACAGTATACAAATAATTCATAATTTTATAAAGATACAATAAAAACTAGAGTTGTGAGTTACGAATTAATTTATAAAGGTTAATCAACACTAGTCTAACCATTTGGTACTTTTTTGTAATATGTAATAATTGGGCATGTGAATATCGTTGTGAATATATATTTTCGAGTGTATGGTGATAAAATAATTTATTTGGAAATTCAGGATTCATTTTAGGATGTTGCTACAAATTTTACAAACACTCCACAACATTTATCATTCATGATATATTGCACGTCAATAATAATAAATTTAATCCAATGAACTGGCACTGCTAGTAAGACAATGAAATATGAAAAAACTATATTATTGGATTAGCAGGTAGTTAGGTGCTTTCTATATTATGAGATAATACTATTGAATAAAAGTTATCACTGAATTGAATTAAATTATTGAAACCAAATCCTGAAAGTGCTGTCTGTGCCCAATGTACTGAACTTTTGTTAGTGTAACGTCATTTGTGTTATCAATACTAGACACATACAGTAGTAGGCTTACAATGATTACGAGTTAATCATATTGAACAACAATTCACACTAATTATTGTTAATTATTGCAAACAAAAGTTAAAAGTCCTGTTACACAAAGAACTCATACGATTACGATTTGGTATAAATATGAGCTGTCACATTGGATATTTTTCATAATTTAATATTGAATTAACAATTAGTTCAACAAAAATTCAATTTAAAACCTACAACATGAGTAAATTATATATAGCGTTAGCTATTGTTATAGTTGTCGTAGCACACGAAAGTTGCGCAAGTACGTATTATTTTTAATAAATATGTTTAATTTTTTATTAATTTGTCAAAAATTAATATTTTAACTAGGAAAAGTGGAAACTTACTTGTATGGTATATCAAGACTCTCGGGTAATAAGTATGGTATTTACGATGGCTATAAAGTTGGTGAATGGCTTGGAATTGGTTGCAATCACGAAATGGTCTGGGATCCTTCAGTCCCAGAGCACGATGATAAAATTGACTCGGTCAACTTCTACAAGGACAATTTCCTATTTTTGAAATCATTTGGTCCTCGAAAATGTGAGTTATGAAATAAAATAATAGCAATAATTTATAAATTTCGTACAACTGTATAATTAATAAGTCAATCTTTGATACAATTCTGTAGTTACGTACTTACTCAACTACCCACAATTAAATTGCTCTTAATAATTAATAATTATATTTTTGTTGCGCTCATTTTTTAAAAAAATGATTGATATCTATATAGTTAAAGAATTGCTATTAAAATGACCTTTATCACTTTAGATCAAAGTTTTCCCGTAAAAGGCGTAGACCCGCAAGAAACTGAGGTGGAACTATTCAGGGACTATGTGGTCATTACTTCCATCGTTGGTGCCAATAACGAAACCGCTGGAGGGTACAGTTGCCAGGTAGATTACATTGATTATCATGGTAATCCTGGTAACATCACTGCCGCTACAAAGCAACTGAAATTAAAATAATCTTTCCATGGTGACAACAATTGTCCTAATCAATTTTATTATAGGAAAATTAAATTTTATGTCCAAATTAAATATAATTTTAATATTTCAAGAAATTCAAAAATTGTATTTAAATTTAAATGAATAAATAACCCATTTTAAAAACTATATGTGTTGAAAATGTTATTAATTCTTCAATGTCTATATCATATATTATTAAAATTCATTATATTGATAATTTTGTATTTGAAATGTCTACATATTAACAATGTTACAAAATATTAAACAAGTATTGTTAAAAATATATTTAATTTTTATATTTTGTAACAACCAAAATATGTGAAACGTATGTTTAGATTTTATATAAAAGTATGTTTTATCATTATAATTGTTGATAAAATTAAAATTTAAGAAAATTTAATTTCATTAACGTAGATTTTATTTCTTAATTTTCATTTCTAAATATCGATAATGATTTCTATTCAAATAAATAAAAATAAAACTTATTTGCTTCCCGGAAAATATATTTATATTATAAAATATATTTGTTTCACAAATTAAAATAATTCAACTTATTTATTTTTAGTATCACAAATTGGGTCCTCATTAAGTGGATCTTTTTCAATTTATTAATATATTATATTGTTAATAATTTATAGAAAAACAAGAATCGGACAATAATATTACTTAAAACAATTATTTTTAAAAATATAATGTATATCAAATTGCTTTATTATACATACGAGTGCACAATCAATACGAAAAGATCAAGTTATAATGTGTAAACATTTTACAAATTAATTCATTTGTTGATACATTAATTTTTAGTTTATCAATTAGTATAAAAATAGTATATGAACTAAAGTTTATAATGATAAAATAAAAACCAGTGTTAAGAGTTAAGAATTAATTGATAAAAGTGTACTCCACTTTTTGCACTTTTTACACTGATTAGAACGCGTATGTGTTGGCACATTTTATCAATATCTGTTCATGTGAATTATATATCGTTAGGGATGCACGAGTTTATGGTGATACAACAATTTATTAACAAATTCAGGATTCATTTTAGGATATTGCTCCAATTTTAAAAACACTCCACAACATTTAAAATTCAAAATATAAGGCGTAACCCACGAAGTACGTACGCACGCCTAGGGGGAGGGGCCATGCAAAAGGGTATGTCCCCATGTTAAACTCCCATGAACGATGGTCGTGTAGGGGGAGGGGTCAATTGTTGACCAAAATTTTGCGTACATACTTTGTGAATGACCCCAAATGCAATTAAATGATAATCGCACTACAATGAGAAGCAAGATTTATAAGCAGACCATGAATAAATATTTGAAAACTACATTATTGAATTATTTTTATGTGAAATAGTTTACGAGTAGTACCACCTGATCATAATGAGGTTATTCACGGAAATCATTCTACAGTAGATTAGAATAATACGATAATGCTCAATTGCATAATTATATATAAATCATATCACCAACGTGTGTTATTTTATCTAAATATGATATAAACAAGTAGATACGTGGTTTGCACGCAGTATTACGTGAAAATCCTATTAAACAAAAGATATCCTAAGAATTGAATTCAATTATTTCTTCTTTAGACCCCAAATGCATGAAATCAAAGAGAGAAAGTCCTGTCCACAAAGTACCAATATCCTTTTCATTAGATATAAATATGAGCCTTTACAAATTTTACTGTTCATAATTTAATATTGAATTAACAATTAGTCTTACATAAATTCAATTAAACAACTTAAACAACTACAACATGAGTAAATTGTTTATAGCGTTAACTATTGTTATAGTTGTCGTAGCACACGAAAGTTGCGCAAGTATGTATTATATGCAATAAATCTATTTACGGTTTTTGATTTTTTATTAATATATTAAAAATTAATATTTGAACTAGGAAAAGTGGAAACCTACCTGTATGGTATATCACAACTTTCGGGTAATAAGTACGGTATCTACGATGGCTATAAAGTTGGTGAATGGCTTGGCATTGGTTGCAGTCATGAAATGGCTTGGGATTCTTCAGTCCCAGATCAATTTGATAAAATTGTCTTGGTTAACTTCTACAAGGACAATTTCCTATTCTTGAAATCATTTGGTCCCCGAAAATGTGAGTTATGAAACAAATATCAATAATTTATAAATTTCGGGTGACTGTTTAATACAAAGTCATTCTTTGATACAATTCTTTATTACGTACTAACTGAACGACACGCTATTAAATTGCTCTTAATAATTAGTAATTAAATAGTTGTTGCACTAATTTTGTAAAAATGATTGATATCTATATAGTTAAAGAATTGTTAATAAAATGACCTTTATCACTTTAGATGAACGCTTTCCCGTAAAAGGCATAGACTCGCAAGAAACTGAGGTGGGTCTATTGATGGACTATGTGGTCATTACTAATTACATCGTTGGTGCCAATAACGAAACTGCTGGAGGGTATAGTTGCCAAGTAGATTACATTGATTATTATGGTAATCCTGGTAACATCACTTCCGCTACAAAGCAACTGAAATTAAAATAATCTATGCATGGTTACTACAATTGACGTATTCAATTTTATTATAGGAAAATTAAATTTTATGTCCAAATTAAATATAATTTTAATATTTCAAGAAATTCAAAATTTGTATTTAGATTTAAATGAATAAATAAAGCATTTTAAAAACTATCTGTGTTAAAAATATAGTTAGTAGTTTAATGTGTATATCATATATTTATAAAATTTATTATATAATTAATTATTTTTTATTTAAAATGTCCAAAAATAGATAATGTAACAAAATATAACACAAGTACTATTATTAAAAACATTTTTAATTTTAATATTTTGTAACACGTAAAATGTGTGCAATTTATGTTTAGATTTTGAAAATAGGTTTTATTATATTGATTACTACAATTAATTAAAAAGTGTTCCAGTACCAATTATATTATTTCAAACTCAGAATGATTAAGTTTGTTTTGAAAGTTATATATTTTAATGTTATAATGTTAATTCATTTAAAAATTTGTAATTATATTAAATTAATTATAATTATTTTTGTAATTCATAGTTAAAATAAATTTTTAATTAATAAAAAAATTCTTATATTTATTTATACATCTAATTTGCAGCAATTTGTTTTGAAAAATACAAATATTAATTTTTAAATATATAAATATACTCTAAATTAGTCACATGTTTACGCGATTATAATATTGATTTCAAACCAAACACTTTGCGGTATATGTGTTTAAAAAATTAATATAAAACAATTAACACTTTAATAAAGTTAAAATTTATTTGGGTTACAATTAATCTATTAGTATATTACTTTATAGCAAGGTGACTTATATAATCCAAACGGCTGTTATAGTGTAAGCAACCATATATAAAAATTATCTATACTAATTAATGCACACAATGCTACAAATGTCACAATTACGCCACAACCTGCATACATTACCAGTGTAATAATTCTGTGTAATAGACAAGATTTTAAATATTTACGCTTAAATCTCTTAATTATTTACAAAAGCCTTGCCGGAGGATTAACCGTTTAAGACCAGGATATAAATTATGATAGATGCATAGAATGTGTGATACAAAAATTTATTTCCAAATTCAGGATTCATTTTAGGATGCTGCTACCAATTTTAAAAACACTCCACAACATTTATCATTCATGATATATTGCACGTAAATAATAATAAATCTAATCCGATATACGGACACTGCTATTAAGGCAATGAAAAAACTATATTATTGGATTAGCAGGTAGTTGGGTGGATAGCTTTCTATATTATGAGATAATACTATTGAATAAAAGTTATCACTGAATTGAATTGAATTATTGAAATCAAATCCTGAAAGTCCTGTGCCCAATGTACTGAACTTATGTTAGTGTTAACTCCTGTTACGTCATTTGTGTTATCAATACTAGACACATACAGTAGTAGGCTTACAATGATTACGAGTTAATCATATTGAACAACAATTCACACTAATTATTGTTAATTATTGCAAACAAAAGTTAAAAGTCCTGTTACACAAAGTACTCATATGATTGCGATTTGGAATAAATATGAGCTGTCACATTGGATATTTTTCATAATTTAATATTTACTTAACAATTTGTCCAACACAAATTAAATTTAAAACCTACAACATGAGTAAATTATATATAGCGTTAGCTATTATAGTTGTCGTAGCATGCGAAAGTAACGCAAGTAAGTATCACACTCATTAAATATACTTACAGTTTGTTGGTAATATATTAATAATTAATATTTTAATCAGGACTGGTTGAAACCTATTTGTACGGCATTTCAAAACTTTCGGCCAATAAATACGGTATCGATGTTTGCGATGGTTATAAAGCTGGTGATTGGCTTGGCATTGGTTGCATTCACCAGGTTTATGAGTCATCATTCCCAGGGCATAATGATAAAATTGAATCGGTCGACTTCTTCAAGGATAATTTCCTATTCTTGAAATCATTTGGTCCCCAAAAGTGTGAGTTATGAAATAAATATTACTTTTTGGTATTATACTGTTTAAATATTTAACCACTTACGTACATATTGAACGACCGTCTATTAAATTGCTCTTAATATTTAGTAATTATATTTTTGTTACACTAATTTTGTGGAGAGGATTAATATCTTAATTGTTAAAAACATTTTTTCCAAAATGACCTTTATCACTTTAGATGAACGCTATCCCGTAAAAGGCATAGACGCGCAAGAAACTGAGGTGGGTCCTTTGATGGACTATGTGGTCATAACTAATTACATCGCTGGTGCCACTAACGAATCAGCTGGAGGGTATAGCTGCCAAGTAAATTATATTGATTATCATGGTAATCCCGGTAACATGACTTCCGCTACAAAGCAACTTAAATTAAAATAATCTGCGCAAGGTGACAACAATTGACACATTCAATTTTATTAACGAAAATTACATTTTATTTCAAAATTATATGTGATGTTCCTAAAAATTCAAAATAAATCAAATTTAAATAAATAAATACCGCATTTTAAAAATTATTCATGTCATGAATTATTATTAAAGTTTGATCTTGATAATTTAAGTTTAAAATTTAAATATTGTTAATTCTGCATTAAATTTATCAAATATTTAATGGTATAAATATATTATATATTTCAGAATTATTTTGTTGTAGAAACTCTTGAAAATTAAAAAATTTTACAAAATATAAAACAAGTTTTTTAAATATTAAAAATTGATATTTTCTAATACGGAAAATGTGTTTAACTTTTGATTAAATTTTAAAAATATGTTTTATCATATTATTACTACAAAAATAAAATATAATATATTTCCACATGTTTTTGCGTTAAATTGTAAATTCATTATTTTTAATTACAAAATATTACCTATTACACTGCAAACAAAACTGATTTTACTATTCATTTTAATCGTGCTATTATTTACTAACGTTCAATATAACATGTTACATCGAAAAATAGTCACAATCACTAAAACTGTACCAGTACCAATTTTCTTATATAAAACTCAAAACGACCAAGAATGTTTTGAAAATTATATAACTAGTCCAGAATGGAAAACAATACTAACAAATATAATTTATTTAATTATGGTAGTTCCAATATTTATCCGAAATGCAAATAATGTACGAGTTATCTTATTACTGCAACGTTGATTATACAGTATATCTTGATTGTTAATTTATGTGAAATTTATTTATGATATGAAATTACTTATAATAATTATTGAATTTCATTGTTAAAATAAAAAATATTTTTTAAATGATTAATAGCAAAATTCTTATATTTATTTATAAATCTAGTTTATAACAATTTATAAAAATTCAAACATTATTATTTTCAATATATGTAATATTAATATTTTCAAAGTTATTCACATTGTTTTTGTTAACTATAATATATAATATTAATATCAAACCAATCCCTCGTTTTGCGGCGTACTTGCGACACAATGTTTGGCTACTATTGCGGCCACAAAACAGTCTCCGATAACATTAGTCGCGGTTCGCAATCGACTCCTAAATCAGAAATTTGTTTTAAAAACATATTAAAACATTTAATTTTCATATTATTAATATCTAATCTTATAATCATATAATCTTATAATAATAATCAATATGTTTATTATGTTACTATAAGCTTTACATAAGCATGTTGACTTACATAATCCAATCGGCTGTTGTTGTGTAAGCAAGCACATCTAATGGATTTTCTATACCAATTGATGCACAAAATGCTACAAATGTCACGATTACGGCGCCACCTGACGATATGGCAGGTATGGCTACGGACATCACCAGTGTCATTATTCTGTGTAGTAGTCCATATTTAAATAATTTTACTAGTAGACTTAATTTATTACAAATTTAATAAAATATCCTAAATTATACATACGTTAAAATAAACATATGCTGTAAACCAACATCCATGCCATGCATTTGTGCCACAAATAGGATAACCATCGGGTAGTACAGTGCGAACCCATTCATGTGGACATTCATACCCAGGGGTAACACAAAACGAGTTATACTTTCGGGTAGTTTTACATTCTTTTCCATTGAGTCTATGGTCACCGGTAGGGTAATCGCACTGTTATGTAAACATGTACAGTATTAGTATTATATTTATGAAAATATATTGTTTATATATATTACCTTGATGCGGTACCCAGTGCCAGTATAATAGCCGGGCTAATTTTCTTATAAAATGTAAACGGATTTTTACGAACCACAAATAAATATACACCGGCATGTACCACAAATAGCATAATTACAAAACCAGCAAGGGCAGTTACAAAGAACCATAGTAATTGTGATATTAGTCGTTTTGGGAAACGGAGTTGTATGCCACCTAGGACCATCCAGTATACAATCGCCATTGGGAATGCCCTGATACAAAATTATTTAAACAATTATAAAGCTACAATATTAAATTTATGAATGACCTACTTCATTAATATGTTGATAACTTGCATGATAATCAAATTAGTCTCATTCAAAAACTGCTTTGTGCCAGGTACTTTATCATCCAATAATAATGTGGCTACTCCAAGTATAATACCAAATACGCACATGCCAATAAAATTAGTTTGAAATGTGTGCTGGGTAACTTTTTTAAAACCGAGCGTTTTATTTAAGGGGTCAATAGGTTCAAGTCCGGTGTAATAATCATGGCACCCACCACGTTATCAGGGAACATGTTACTAAGCACAATAAAATAGTTAAGTTAAATAAATTACTAGTTCAGTTCTCTGATTAATAACTTACATGATAAAATCAAACAGGGTATCCTCTTTGCTAACTGTCCCCTGAGCTGCCAAATAGGGGTTATATCTGTAAACGGACTGATTTTTCCAGATCTCCAAGTCCTCAGCCGATTGTACGCCGGGTCTCACCATAAACATAAGCCCCGACCCCAACATTGGCGCCAAACATGAATATATAGCAAATAGTGTGAAGGTCCATTTTAGTATTTTCTTATTTTCGCTAGATTTTGCCGAGCTAATACCTTGATGAAAGTGTATTTTTAATTTCAGTATAATAGTTTTATGATTGTATTAAATTAACATTAATTTGTATACGTTTAACATTTATTTGAATAAGGTGGCATAATTAACAAAAATAAGCTGGGCTCATTTAATAGACTTACTAGTAGCTAATGAGGTGACAATCATAGGCACCACAATTAGCGAGAATATGCGAACTACTAGTGTGCCCGGAAGGGACAGGTATTTCATAAACATCTCGTTTTTAATTTGCGGGTAATATGTCTTCAATAAAAATCCGCAAACCATAGCTGATATACATAATGTACTGTAGGCTATACGGTCTTTATTATTGATTATCCAGGTCTGTTAATAAATATAAATTTTTATTATTATTATACAATAAACAGAATAAAATTAATGAGATACTTACTTTAATTTTTTCAAACATAATAATTTATTAAAATACAGTAGCACGGTATTATGTTTTAAATTATTTATAAATTTTTTACAATTTATTAAAACTGTAGACAAAAAATCAAATTTTTAAAATGTAATTGATTTATGTTTTATATAAATATTTTTACAAATTTTTTTGAAAACAAATTCAGTTCAAAACATTTAACAGGAATTTAGGAAATTTCTTAATTTTTTAACAACTCGTGAAATAGTGTTATAATTATCAATATAAAGTAAAATATTTTAAACTATGTTTTAGTTAGGTTTACGTCAACTATGATTTAAATCTAATCAAAATTATTAGATTAAAGTAAGTAAATAAATTTATTTTAATATAATCAATTAAATATTTCTTTTAGTACAATACGTTCAATATTTAAATTAATTGATAAAGTAAATTGAAACTTTATAAACTTTCTACACCATTAACCGGATTATTTGATTATAGTATGCTATTCAATTTAATAATATAAATCTAGTGACATATTAAATAACCTTGAATTCACTAACTTGATTATCATAATTGATTAATAAATTTTAATTTATATTTTATCTCTACTTTCAAAACATTTTTCTACAATCCACTATTAAATAATATTTGACTTTGAGTTATCAAGGTTAATGGTGCAGTAAATTAATATTCTATGAATAGCCATGTAATTTAACGGCTTTAAATTAATGGGCATTATTAAATTGAAAGCATTTATTTTTAAAATTATTCTAGACTACTATTTATTACATTTTACATTATTATTATTAAAAACATATTCAAATTGATCATCAACGTGCATAAAAGGGTTATGTATTTTTCAATTCAAACTATATACCGAACATAATCATTGCATTTATAGTATCTAATATAGTTTATTATTTTGAGAAATGCCACGATTATGTTATGTATACAGTTTGCATTAAAAATAAATAATTATTAATAACTAAAACAACTTGTATTATATTTTAAAATCAAATGGATCCGGTATTTGTATGTACTCAAATCCTGACTACAGTTTACAGTGTTGTTGTCAGTTTACAGTTTACACTATCTGTTCAAAAATCATTGCACTTTATTGTGGAGATCCTTTCAGATAATAAACACAATATTTGTAACCTATATAATACCTTCTAGGTCACAATCATATCGCTCAATTGAGTACATATGATTAAAGGAGCTATATCTAATAATGAGCATGTGGTTCATAAAATTCTATGAAATAATAAATACAATACACATTGTCATAAAAAGTGCCAATATAAGTGGCGAGATTAATGGTACATTTTAATGATAAATGCTAAAAAT